CCCCCCCCCCCCCCCCCACCCTAAATCTGGCCCTGCCAGCCCAAGGGTGGGGGACACTGAGGACAGGGGCAGCTTGGCCCCCTGCCCTTGATGGGAGCCTGGAGGTTGGGGCTGTGGTACGGGGGCTGCATGGGGGCCATGCGACTCTATGAGCATCCTTGTGCTGGCAGGGGGTGTCCAGGGGGGAGCATCTGGCAGTGCCCCCCACCCTGTGAGCTGGACTAGGCCGGGCACCAGGCAGGAAATCGAAGAGGTGGAGAGCAGCGGGAAGTGGCGAGGTTGGGACTCTTGGGTTCCTTCTGTGGCTCTGGCCTGGGAGCAGGAGTCTGGTGAGCTACACTGCAGGGGAGCTGGGGCCCGGACTCCTGGGTTCCCCCCTGGCCTGGGAAGCCAAGGTGAGGGGGGCCCAGTGGTTAGCGCTGCTCTCACCTCTGGCTGACTCATCCTTCCCACTGTGGCTATGAAGTCCCTCGACAGCGCGTCCCGTCCCAGGGCCTCTTGCTAGCGCAGACTGCGGCGGGGGATTTGTGTGGCTCCAGGGGTGCAGCCACAGCCCTGGGGGGCAGCAACCACTGGAGATGGGTGGGAGCGGGGTGGGGCAGGCAAGTTCTACAGCCTAGATATCTCTGGGGTGAACATATGGGGTGTAGGGGCTGGCGCAGCTGGAGAGAGGCGTTTCCGGGGCCCCTTGTGCCTGGGGAGCTGCCAGGGCCTGGTAGGTGGGGCCCTGCCAGCCGCTCGTCCCAGCAGGCAGGGATGGGCAGGGCTGGCCTCCCCAGTGCGCAGAGGTCAGGCTGACCCGGGCTGGGTGGCACTGTTCCCGGCAGGCCCGCAGCATGGTTACCAGGAGTGATGTGGGCCTGTCGGGACACGGGATGCAATCCCCGTAACCCCCCCTGGCCTGCGGCAGGCGCAGCACAAGGGCCGTGGGCGTGGGGAGCCGGCACTGCTGCTTCCTTGGCTCCCTGAACTTGGGAGCAGCCCGTCACCACCCGGCCTTCCGGTG